GGGCCGGCAACTATTTTGGAACTCAGTCGGTACCAGCCCTCCTGTTCTAACCTAGTGAGTTACTGTGTCAACGCTGGTTATATCCTTGGTTAATCTCACCTGCGTCGCCACTGTTATAGCCTAGTGTGTTCCTGTGTCAACACTGTTTATGCCCCCCAGTACGTGTTAGGAAGAGAAGGTAAAACAGGATAGCTGATAGTGCTTTACTGTCAGTTGTACTAGTAAATTAGCTTTGTTACCTGTGTGTCCAGCAGCTTGCCTTCTGTGGTCGGTCTCGTCTCGGGTCGTCGGCAGCGTCTCCAACAACAGAGTCCCGTTCTGCTCGCAGGCTCGCTATTTAAGGGGCAGTCGTTATTGCTCCCCATTTGCTCTCCATTATCGTCGTGCGCGCGCTCGTCTACGCACGTCTGCGCATCTGTCCTCAGCGTGACTTCACTGATAGCAACAACTCGGCTCCGGGGCAGTCTCGCTTCGCGTGCCTCCTTTGTCCTGACCTAATGTCCACCCTTTGAAGGTCGCGCGACTTAGCCCGTTCTGTATGCGCCGGACTGGCCTGTTCGCTCGCCTTGTTCCAGCGTGACCTCGGGATGTCTGTCTGTCTCGGTCATCCTAACACCTCCGAACTGGTTCCTCTAGTTTCTGACTTTTCCCATTTCTCTTGTGAGCAAATGAACATAGTTCGCGACCGCGTTCGTGCTTTGATTTTACCATACGGTACACTCCAGTCTTTATATTGACCTGGGTAACGCCGATACCGTTGCATAAATGTTGGCACTTAATTTTTGTATCCTAGGCTTCGCTTCCATTTTCCTTATAAACAATTGCACTCTTTAAGACACATTCTTGCACGTAAGACCAGTCTACTTATGCTGTGACCTCCGCTCTCGAAGAAAAAGTTTCAATTTGGGTACACTTTATTCGAGTCTGTCTTATTAGAGTTTGCAGACACGTCTTCATTGTTGAACGCCTTTTATGGCTTGTTGTAACTGCATTTTTTTCTAAATTCGGTCCCCTGACTAAGAGAAATTGTATCAAATGCTCCTCACGCAACGACTACGCGGGGGAAGCATAAAATAATTAAACGCATTCGGATGCTTTCCATAAATAGCGTCAGTGGCTTTTGTACATCTCTACTGGAACCCTCTGTCGGTTATTTATACCTAGGCGCGCATACATGCCCATTTTCACTTGCACAACTGACGGCATTCACTATAATTAATTTGGTCAGCGCCGTCAAATGATTGGTCTACATTACTATCGATCGACAGCAGACTACCGGGCAGAGTTAAGCTTGTCGGCGCGCCATCTTCGGTCCTTTTTCAACTTTTTTCTTGTTTTGCTTGCGCCGCTCGACTAAACAAGTGAGTCGCTACAGTGAAATGTGATATCTGAACCGTTGGCCGCCTTGGAGACGGTTTGATCACTAATGTAGGAGGTCTCCACGAGACCAAGCTGAGCGAATGACAGTAACTAGAGATTTTATTAAGGAACTGGCCTACTTCAATCGGCAACTTTTCAATCAAATCCAGAGTTTTATTCACTTATACACCAGTTTAACATGATACAGACTTATCTGAGATTTAAAAAAACGGAGAAGATCAGATCTGAACATCAGATCAACTTGTGCGAGTATGAGATTCAATGAAATCGCGAAATAGATTTGCCTCCGCCCCTTGATCGTCTGTCAGCTCCGACAATCTCTGTGCGGTTGAGGTTTTATTCAAAAATATCGAAGGTAGTGGAGCTCAGGTCTGGCTTCACCGCATCTGTCCTGTCGTGCCATCGCAGCGGATGCTCCAACTCGGATAGATAGTCAGGAGCCTATGTCGCGGATGGATTCTCCTTTATATAAATGGGGTACGAGATCAAACCATTTTAGATTATTACTGTTCACTACGTCACCAACACCATTGGTAATGCGGTCCTACCCTCAATGGGCAGTCCACAAAAGGAGGCGTTTTTTCAAGGAATTAAGCGTTTTAGTTGATCTTCCAACCGCTTAGGGCAACCAACGGTTTGTAAGTTTGTACGCGCCTGATGAACAGCGTACAAGCTCAAAGATTAGGATGTAGAGGTACGCACCATCCCGTCTGAATGTGGTCTACAGCCTTAGACTTGGATTCTCTGCCATCGAGTTTCCTCTCCTTTCAGTGTATATCGCCTCTTTCCCCATTTAGATTCCAAAATCATGAGATCTCAGAAGGTTACAGATATTTTGAGGCTTCTGCTCACTGATGAACGTATCCCGGACAACCTCATTACCGTCGTCTACACTGATCTAGGCACTGGCTCAGAGGCGAAAAAACCCCTGACGGATTTCCACTATGACCCCGTCCTGGGACTCAATATAAGCACCCTGGGTCTGCGAGATTATCAGATCACTTGCATAAAGCTACTGGACAAGGTTGTTTGGGACAAAATTAGTGGTGTTGATCTCATCTCCACTTCCTCTCCGCCTCCCATTTACGCTCTGTTAGAGAGCACGTCTCAGGGGGCCTCGCTAGGAACAGTAGACAAGCTGCCGGTTGCCAGTTCCAAGGCACCAGAGCATCTGAGGCGTCTGTGCGCTATTCAGGCTTCCAAGCCGGGCTTTCGCAAGCACCGCTTCTTCATCTGTCAGCGCGTCTACAACGAGGTAATGATTGAGAAGGCGGTAAACATTCAAACAAAAATCTGCGAGAAGGTGCCCCTTCTGAAGGAGAGTTGCTACCCACCAGGCTGGTTACACGTCACCCTGGCTACTGTCTGTCCGACTGGTCCAGAGGAGCTGCATCTGGCTATTCGGCTACTTCAGCGAATGATTGACAAGTACTACTACGAATCTCATCCCCATATGATATTCAGATACCCACTGCAATTTGCAGACTTTGTGATTGTATTCCATGCCTCTATCTCCGACAGCATAAATGAAGTAATATGCTCAGCTTTTCGGGGAGACGGAATTGAAATTGATGATCACGAGTTCAATCCGCACCTAACGGTGATTAAGGTATGTTTGGGGCGACGCCCTCAGAAACTTGCTGTTGTCTTACCATTTTTGTGCGTAACCTTCAGGCCATGTTTATTTCAAACTCCAAGTCTCTTTCCTGGGCTCAATCTGGTTTTGTTGTTGCCGTTGTTGGTGGGATTTTACAACAGGAAATAGGGAGTACGTTGCCTTAAAGTATTAAGAGCGCGCCACTTCCTACACTCTATAGTTTGCATTGCTACATCCTAGTTTAATTACTTAATGCGCAGCTGCTTCTTGTCGCCTCAGGGCGTCGACAATTAGTAATCAGTAGGAACACATTGGATCTGTCCATAAAATTGATATGAATATGGCAAAGTCAGAGTTCAAAACAAACAAAATCTGTCACTCAAAGCTCGATTATCCAATGTTAACATGCGTTTTTACTTTTTTTAATTGTTTGTTTAACCTGTGCATAACATTGCTGTTATTCCATCTGCTTTTCAGCCTCCGTCCAATGTCGCGCGAAAGTTATCCGGCCGACTCAATGTGGCCCAGTATCATAATAGATATAATGCTGGTTCCACCTACCAGGCTATAGATCGTCTTGACGTCTGTATGTGTGGTCAAGAGCGCGACGAAGAGGGATTCTGGCTGCGAGCTGCCTCCCTTCCACTGGCGCCAGATGAAAAGTTTTGATTTTTCCTCTCCCCTTTACTTGCTTATTTTGCTCGTTTGTCTTTTTTTATAATATTCCTTACCCGGATAGTAGACTTGGCGTCTTTTTAATACTGTGCAGTATTAGTAAAGCGAATTCATGAGGCCACCACCTCAAGGTCTTTCACTTTGTTCCTTTTAAATAACGTACTTTCTGCTTATTTTTCTTCTTCCACCTTGAGCGCACTTTTCATCTTAATCCCCATTGACCAAAGTATTTGCCTCTCATTTTTACAATGTATTTTTGGCGCACTGTTTCGTGCATGACGTCCCCTTCTTGGTACTACAATTAATATGACAGCAGAGTTCGTGTTTTAGGCCAAATTCTCAAGAAGATGAAGCCTAGTAGGTTCTGAGTGGTCGTTAGTCAAATTTCAGGCTTCGTTACTCCCTGGCTGGGAAGACCAAAGTGTTTTCATGCTGCATCCCTGCCTAAGAGAAGGCACTTCTCGAAATTAGTGGCGGTAAACTTGAAGAGGTAGACAGTTTCAAATACCTCGGAGCGAGTTTTCTGCTGAATAGACAGAGTAAGGATGACACTGTCTCCCAAATTGACGCAGCTCAACGAGTATTCTCCAGCCGTCGAAAGTGCCTCTTGACCCGGTGCGATATTTCTATCTCCACAAAGGTCTGCCTGTGTGCGGATGCAAACGCTGGGCTATGCGCATGAAAGATGAACGGAAACTGGCAGTCTTTAACCACTACTTCTTGAGGACTATCCTCCGAGTGAAGTACACCGACTTCATCTCGAATGAGACAGTTCGCACTGACTGCGACAACATCGCAAGGATAATTAGAAGATGACTCGATCGCTGGGACAATATGTTTATTCGCCTGATGTTTAGAAATCCGTCACGGATTCATCATCAGAGACAGGCGAATAAACATATTGTCCCAGTGGTCGAGTCACCTTCTACTTCTCAACTACTTCCTGGGACTCGCATGTTCGCTTGTATTAGCAGTCGCAAAGATATCCCACGCAATCCAAGAAGGTTGACTGAGGTGGTTTGGACGCGTTCTTCGCCGTCAACCTCACGAGTTCAGTGTTACTGCCCTCGACCCGAAATCCTTACTTAATTGGAAACGTCAAAGTGGGGGTTAGTTCAAAACCTGGCTTGGCTCAGTCCGTCGGGACATCGAAGTGGTTCTTAGAACTTCGGTCTCTGGCGCTGGCGAAGAGACTG